AAACAATTAGATCCCTGGCTCACACAGTACAGAAATATAAATTTCAGATGTGTTTAACGATCTAAAAGTTTTATCTAGTAAAAAATGGCAATGCATAGAAAAGAAAACCTGAAAATCAAAATACATTTTTTAAAGATCTCTAAGGGAAGTGCAAATATAAGAGCAGTGAAACACATTCCGTGCTTATCAGATTAACCAAAACTAAAACACCTGATTAATAGCAGGCACAGTCAAAGATACGGAGATATAAGGAACACCAACACAGCGTTAGTGGGACAATGAAGTGGCACAGCCGCTTCAGAGGGCAATTTGCAAAACCTAAGAAGGTTGAAGTAACAGACAAATGCTGTACATTTCTACAAGTTCTTATTAAGGATATTCCTTGCAATATTTTTTATAATAGCAGAAGGTAAAAACACCTTTCTGTCCGTCAATGGGGAACTCTGGTGTATCAAACAAAGAAATACTAGATCTACAATTATCAGCATATGTTATCAACCCATGTCAAAAAACAACGCAGGGTGAAAAAAGCAGATCACAAAAATAAACGACAGGCCTCCGTTTACATGAAATTTTAAACACAAAATAAGACGACAGAGTCTGACGGGCACACACTCAGTCCCAATGATATAGGTTGCATGGATTCAACCCCAAATTCTCATCCTTCCCTGTCTGGATTTCCCTCTTGCTCAGCAGAGAATTTTCTATTTACGGCAATCCCATACTTGGACTTAAGTAGCTACCACGGGTAAAGAGCTACACTAAGTGCCAGGGAGGACAAAAGAATTATGTAAGACTCCTCTCACCCTGCAGAAGGGTACAACTCAGCTGGGGAAGTTGTCTGAGCGAGCTAGCTCTCAGTTCTCACGCTGCCTCACATAGTGTGTAAACTTAGAAAGAGTGCTTATTTTTCAAGGCCCAGTCCCTTAATCTATAAAATGGGAAAGTCACCCTCCTCATGTTGTGAAGATTAAATAAATATATATATACAGTGTCCAGCACACGGCAAATATTCAACGCTCTTAGCAATCACAGGCACGGCAGCCATCACATGAATACAATCTTCTCAGTCACAGTGACGAAAAAGGAAAGGCGATGGACGGGAGAAGGCCATTGGATGAGTCCACTTCGCCCTCTCCACAGCCGGATTCAATATCCCCAGCCCCCTGTGGTTGCCCTGGTGACTTGGCGCCCACTCTGTGGAACGCATAGGGCACTTCTTCCAGCAGCAGCGTGGCTACACTCAGACCTATTTATTCTTCCGAGTTCACCATGGACAGTGCGCTGTGAAAAGAGCGACCTGCCTCAGAAAAGAGCACTCCTTCTCTCACACCACTAGGGGATTCTGGGGTGAAATGAGACCAAAAGGATCATAACACACCTAAGCTAGCTTCTCAGTTCACCTTCTTTAAAATTCCAAGGACATAACCACAGCTCCATACTACTAAAAAGAAGGCAACCGTGTCTCAGCTCCAGCCTCCTCTAGCACACACCCGCTTCCAACCCACAAGCCACCATCCTAAACAGCTGGGATGGAGTTCTATCCTTGGACTTAGTAGCAGACACCAGAAGGGAGGCCTGCCTACCAGACACTGGAAAAAACCATAGTGTTTGGAAATAGTGAACTGTTGGATTTTTTTCCTGGGATTCCTTCGTGCGGGCTTGGGAAACGATGGTGTATGTTTAAGTTCTCTGGCCAATGTGGCGCCACCATGTGGCAACAGCACAAACAGTTCATAAATCACTCAGCCTTGCAATTCTGTGCTTCTCCACCAATTTTTAACTTTGAGGAATTCAAAATATCTCCACTTTTTATGCTTCAAATGAGAATTCAGTCACATATTTTCTTCATTCATATTTTATCCCACTATTTCAGATTGGCAGTTTTCAAATACATGCTAGGAATAAACCGACCTCCATTTATCAATGTCAGCATTGTTATATCTGGGGTCTGGCTTGTTACACCACCCCAGAACCAATGATCAGAGTGTGGAGGACACAACCAGTTCAGACTCTACCCTGATCTTAAGACCAAATTCTTCCTTCTAGGTTTCTGGACTGGCTTAGGTATAACTACCTTTGGTTTGCCTACATTAAAAAGGAGGTAGAGGGGGCCGGCCCGGTGGTGGCTTAGCAGTTAAGCACGCGCACTCCGCTGCTGGCGGCCCAGGTTTGGATCCCAGGCGTGCACTGACGCACTGCGTGTCAGGGCAGGCTGTGGTGGCGTCCCACATAAAGTGGAGGAAGATGGGCTGGATGTTAGCCCAGAGCCAGTCTTCCTCAGCAAAAGAGGAGGACTGGCAGATGTTAGCTCAAGGCTGATCTTCCTCAAAAAAAAAGGAGGTAGAGGGCGCCAGCCCCTTGGCATAGTGGTTAAGTTCCCATGCTTCGCTTCAGCGGCCTGGGGTTCACGGGTTCGGATCGCACGCAGGCACAGACCTACACACTGCTCATTAAGCCATGCTCTGGTGGCGTCCTATATACAAAATAGAGGAAGACTGGCACAGATGTTAGCTCAGCAACAATCTTCCTTAAGCAAAAAGAGGAGGATTGGCAACAGATGTTAGCTCAGGGCCAATCTTCCTCACCACAAAAAAAAAAAAAAGGAGGTAGAAAATCATCAAGTAGTTTCATTTTAGCTTTGAAACTAAAACGATAAAATAAATAATAATAGTAATAAAAATAAAACATCTGACAAAACTAAGCAGGATGATGGTTACCTTTAGGGGACAGTGCCTGTAGGGTTAATGGGGAGACTGGGAATATTCTAGATCTTAATCTGGGCACTGATTACACAGGTATGTTGTGTGGGTGAAAATCCACTGAGTGTACAATTCAGATCTGTGCAATTTTCTGTGATTATGTTATACCTCAACATAATGTTAAAACAAATTCACCAAGGTCTGACCAGTCATCCCTCCTTAACTTGCATTTGAGACAAAAGACTGCAAACACAATAATAATCAGGAAGGCAAAAACAGAAGGATGCCCAGTTCTCTATGAGGTATTTCAGTCTGTGTAAGTTAATTGCTCTGAAGGCCACGGCCACAGATGAGCTGTCCTTCTGTCCCTCTGGACAGGGAGGAAGGAGACAGGACACAATCTATACCACAGTTAGTTTAAATTGCTGAGCGTGGCTAACACTTCACTATCTCAAAAGTGAGCAGATCTGGGAGCAGACAATTCCCCATTCTCCTCCACACAGGACACTTACGCCACAAAGAGAATCCTGACACAGAGATACACACCATCTCCACAGAGACATATGTCAGCTCCACAGAGACAACCCCCAACACCGAGACACATTGCCCCACCACCACCAAAGACGACCCCCAGCTCCACAAAGAGATCCCCCAGCCCCACAGAGGTAGCTAGCTTCCAGCCCACAGAGACACACCACCGATGGGGGAGGGGCTAATGAGGAGAGATGCAGCTGCCCATGGCCAGGCAAGGAACATCAACAGAAAGACAGAGGTAGTATTTTCAAAGTCTTACCAAACTAAATTTCTCTGGAAAGAAGGATTTTTAGATCTGTGAATAGAGTCCCAGAGGCTGCTGTAAAAAAATTCTTTAAATCACCCCACTTCCACCATAGCTCAAATCCTCTGGGACTATCTTCCTTCTACTTCCACACTGTCAAGCCCCCCGAACCCCAACTACCTTGGGAAGACTAAAAGGCAGGGATTATCCCATTTTATAGATTAAAAAAGTGAGGCTCAAAGATGTTTGTCAGACATCACAAAACTAAGTAGTCATCTCATCACTAAGTCGGGGCGAGGATGGCTGAGTTGGGGGGACAGGGTGATAATGTCAACAGAGGAGGGATGACCCTTTCCCCAGCCCAAAGCTCTGCGAACTGCCCACAGTCCCATAGCAGCTGCCTCAAAGGACCTGGAGTAAACAATTCATGTCCGGCAACATTTACACATTCTGGGACTGGACTGCACCCCCCACCCCGGGAAAGTGTGAAACAAATCCAGATCAAGGGGTAGGGAGTGGGGCGGGCAGAAATGAAGCCAGACTCAAGGCATTTTCTAAGAGTAGATGGGAGCCAACCCCAGAGCGTACTCGCTTCTCTTAGCAAGTCCCTGGGCCCAAACTAGTGTGTGCAGTTAGTCTCTGGGATACTTATTCTCGGGGACAAGGCTTATTTGGGAGAAGAAAACGGAAGCAGGACGGATCTAAGAGCAGGCACCTAGCAAATTCCCCCACCCTGCCGAGACGTTAATAAATTAAGTGACGGGGAATGCAGGCGACGCTGCAAATACCGCAGGTCCAGGCATTCTCACCGCGGAATCGCTCTGCTCCGCGCTCAACCAGGAGGTCCCCCGCGGCTACCCCCAAACCTCTGTAGCGTCCCCTGGCTCCTTATCGGCTCCCGACCTCTCCAAATGTGAAGGGGGGAGGAGAGTATGAAGAGGGGACTGGGCTGAGCTGAAGTGACCCCCACGCCCCCTGCCAAACAGCGCGCCCCCTCCCCAGACAGTCCGGGGACCGGGTCAGATGCGACCGACTCGGATTCTTACTCCGCGCACCGGCCATGACCTTGAGCAAGTCCCTGATTAGCCTCATTTTACAGAAATTAAGAGTCGTAAAGAGTCAAGTGCGCCACGCTGGGCTGCTTCGGGGCGCTTACCCGGTGGTTTAAGGCGCCCCGCTGGTGCACCCGTAGCGTAGTAGGTGCGCGGCGAGCCGCAGCCCAAGCGCTACGTGGCCAGTGGGGATCGGGAAACGCGAGGGAAACGCAGAGGCGAGCTCCGGCTCAAGCAGCGGGAGAAAGGGGCGGTTCCGACTGCGACGATCCCCTAGCAAGTTCAACGTCCCCCCCCCTCGACGCCCCTCCGCAGAGGCAGACTGGCAGTGCCCAGAGGCCCTGGCTGAGGACGCGCACGGGGTGTGGGGGGGCGTGAGAGACTCCTCCACACACCCACCCCCGAAGTTGCGGCAACGTAAGGGAAAGAGTGGCGCAAAACCGCCGGAGGGGAGGGGACGGTACTCACACTAGGTGGTCAGCTTGGAGCGGGTCCGTGACCGAGATCATCGATGACGGCCGGGCTCAGGCCACTGCGCCTCAGGATGCCTGGGGCACCTGCCGCAGCGCGGCGCGTGGATTGGGAGGCTGCAAGGCAGGAGCGCGGGTCGGTCGGAGCGCCAGATCTGCGCTGCAACGCCGCGGGGGCTCGGCCGCCAGAACCGCAGCCGCGGCGGGAGCCCGGGAGCGGGTTGGAGGCGGGAGCGCGGCGGCAGCAGCGGCTGCGAGG